GAAAAAAAAAAAAATAATAAAAAGGGATGTTAATTCAGGCTACTGGGCTCCTGCAACTCTTTTCCTTGACATTTTTCAAAGAGTTTTGAAAAGAATTAGCTTCTCTATAAAGGAAGAAGGTTTTTGTGAAGCAAGAAGAAGATTGTTTATGTTTAAAGCTATATGCAATACACTTTAAGGTCTAGTCAGCACAGCTGCTTTATGCTCTCTGGGTTGGGGTAGTTATACTGCATTTCCAACAGTCTGAAAGGCATCTGCCGCAACAGGGTATTTTGGGGCCAGAGCTGCTGAGCTTGACAGGGTGAAGAGACTGCTCCATACAAAAGGTGGGAGGTCAGAAAAAAGCAGGCTACAGAAAATATGAAATAAGAAAGATATGAAGGGGGAAAAGTTAAAGAAACACTAGGAGAACAGGAGAAGAGCACCTAATTAAAAAAAAAGGGAAAGAAATTGCCCCGTCTTACAGGGGAGGACAGGAGCTCCAATTTCACCCAAGACATCCAGCAAGTGGAATAGGCAAAAACTGGTGAACTGGTGTTATAAAAAGGCAGCGGAGAGGGGGACTCACAGGAACATAGTCAATTTGTGAAAGAGGTTAAGAGCATTCAGGTCTTCCTCACATAAAAAAACCCCAAAAACCACTGTTTTAAACACACAGATGTATTTGTTAGCTATCAGTTTAACTTCATTGATGGAATCTCTTGGAGACTCTACAAACCTTACGGAGCTAAACAGCTTACTCCAGTCTGTGGACTGTTGTGCCTAAAAAAAGCAAAAGTTCTCAGAGAATGAAAGCAGAAAGGAAGTGAGACAAAAACTTAAAAAACCTATTTTATCCCACATACTGATAAGGAGGCAAAAGACTTTTTTATTTAGAAGGACTCATAAAAGACTATTCTAATTTCAATGAAACAATAACTAGAATTGCAGCAGTAAATAACAACACACTTGAGAAAATTTTGGAGGGAAGAAGTCCTTTCCACACTTTTGAAAATGTGGGGAGGCAGGAAAAGGAGGACAACAGATCCATTTCTAATTACTAAGAGTTGGGAGGGGGTTGCCAATGCAGACAGCAGCCTAGAAATAGAATATCTCCTATCAGTTTGCTCCTTTAAGGTATCATCTTACACTGTTCCCTGGTCAGTACTAAGCCATATGACCAAGCAGACTGGACTTCAACCCACAGACTAAGAAGTTCTGTATTTCTCATGCAGTATTTCAAAACCCAGGGTCTCCCATACATGCATTCAGTCCCTTCAAACCATTTGAGTTTCCTCCCCCTGGTGTCACATTCTTTGCGTGTGACTTCAGAAGTAACACTTTCAGCCCCAAATTCCTATTAAAATTCACCTCCTGTTCAACTACTGCCAGTTTTGAATTCAGTGACAAATATGTTGGCTAGCAACTTGGCTACAGGAGAGAAAGAAAACCCCACAAAGAGGTGGAACCTAAGAACAAAGGAGGAGAACAAAAGCCCCCCCTCTTCTCCCAATTTGTCTGCCCACATACCAAAGATCAAAAGAGCTCCAAGAAGACTGTGCATAATCTACATACTTGGTGACCTTATTACAATCGAATTCCCTGCAGGCACGGCCGCTGTGTATATACGCACACACTGTAAATCCACAAGTGGGTCTGTGGATGTTTGCCAAGTCATTTGCTCCATGCATTGAGTTTGCTTACTTTTAACAATGCTGAGGCCAAAGAAGTGAGGCTCTTTAATCTTCACTAAATCACAAACTTGTTGAAAGAGCTCCTGTCCAGTGGCTTTGACCTGAAAGAAACAACCAATCCAACATTACAGATGGCTCACACACCTGGATGGAGCAATTCTCTTTCCTTAACATTGGCCAATACATTTTTGGGTACCACAGCAAAAAAAAAAAACCCAACCCACATAAGCAGCTTCATTTGCAGTATCATTATTGCCATTATCACAGAATAATAATCAACATCTTATTCTCCTTCCTTCACAGTGCAAAGTGGCTCAGCTCAGTAAGACACGAATTTAAAGTTTCCTCTCTATTGGCATCTTTGTGTAAGAATTTGGAGCACTACCGGAGCCCTAGCTTTGTGCACTACCTACCAGGCTATTCACAGGTGCTCTTACAAAAAGCTTGTTTGTAATCACAGAAATAAAAATACTACTTTCTTGAAGATTTTTTTTTTTTTTGAGAGAGAGAGGCTAAGAGGAAAAAACAAAAAGGAAAACTTTCATTCAGGAGAACTGAAAACAAAAGTACACAAACCAACCCAAGATTGATTGCATGGTTTGAGCAGAAATAGATCATGGGTTAGAGATGAGGCTGCTCTGTACCCCATGCAGAAGAGCTTATTCTGTCCCCTGCTGACTCCTGGTCATGCAGCAATTAACATCACCATCTCCTGAAACGGTCACCAGTGGCCTATAAGCTCTTGCCCATTTCCATGCCATACTGAGACCTTCCAGTACCCTGGCCTGCCATAGCTGAAGGAAGTGGGGAAGGACTGGGAAAGCTGAGATACCAGCATAAGCTCCTGCAGGGGACCAGGGGCTGGGCAGTATTTGCAAGCACGGAACAGGGTGAGAGAGAGCCGTGGCACTGAGCACAGCTACTGACTGCTCTGTTCTAGCAGGGCTGCTCGGAGCACAGGCTCCCCCATCAAGAGCGTGATTCTGGCTACCTGCATGTGCAGACCTGGATGCGTACTGCAATCAGAAAATTCCCCCACTAAATTTTCCTCCCACTCACAGCCTCATCATCCCCTGCCCCATCACAGCAAGCCAGGAGCTCAGACAGACAGACAGCCACAGGCACAAACAAAACCCCCAACTCCCCAACCCTCAGAGGCACAGGGGAAGGAGTTTTGAGCAAGAGCAGGTGGGGACAGCAGACAACCACCACCAACACAGACAAGCTCGGCTCAGCTGCAAAATGGGCCAGAACCTCTGAATTTCATTACTCCACTGCTAGATGATGAGGATTTAGCAGCGGCAGGAGCAGCGTTCCTGAGAGGGGACACTGCAGCGGTACCTTCACAGCAAAGATTACAGGGCAGAAGTCAAACACTGAACTCTCCTACAAACTAATCACCACCATCAAACTAATCGCCACCATAAGTCTTCAAACCCTTTTAGTGCAGGCATGTCATACTCCTCAGAAAACAGCTGCGCTCCCCTCCCTGCCCCAGGATGTACCAAGTCACTAGACATGGACAATGGGAAACAGGAGGTCATTCAAGTACTCATTTTCTTCTACTTGACAAGGCATCACTAGCCAGCCACTCACTACTGCTTTATCGGGAGCTTTGAAACCTGCGCTACACCAACACATGCACGTGCTTATACGGGCTTTGGGAGGGGAGGAAGTAGCACACAGTTCTGGTAAGACCCAAAACCACATCTGGGTGTCTTACTATGGGTGTCTGAATGAAACTGCACCCTTACAGTTTCACACCTAAACGCAGTATTTACTCAGCTGCTAAGAACACACAGCTGTACGGGAAAGTTGGGCACAGATCTGCCTCCTTTCTCAAGGAAGCAAGCTGTAAGCTTGTTCTCCAACCTGGGAAGGGCTCACTAAAGAAGAGGTGACCTCCCCCTAGCCAGAATGGTTATGTGTCTACAAGAGTCACTGGCAGAAGAGCTCTATGTAAAAGCTATACAATTAGATGAATTTTGTAAGTGGCATGCTTTCACACCCAAGGGAAGAAAAACTTGCTTTAAGATACTTACTTCTAGGGAACTGAGCACTTCAATGTTTTGTGACACTCAGCTCTAAAGTGGTGATTTAATCACATTTCCTGCACAGCAGGTATGTGAGCTACCACCTTGTCCGTTCTCCTTTTGGCACTTCCCTCTGTATCAAGTTTTACTCCCAGCTTTCAATGCTATGCAATACCGATTACACTCGCAATTGCTGTCCCCTCCTCCTGCCTTCCCCTGTGCTCAAAGCAACCAACATTTCCCTTTGCATTTTAAATCTGTGTGCTTCTCTTTGACCCTTCCTCCCTTTGCATATGGCTCCTGTGCCAAGCTCCATCCCAGACGTGCCATGAATCATTCCCTCCCTTGATACTCAGCTTTGCCCCATGTCAGACTCAGGGCTTCTTTACACATGAAATTTAATCCAAAATGAAGTTGAGTGCAAGTTTACAGAAGGTAACTGCTACTCCAGGGTCATTCTGTGTGCAAATATTTACATGTATTGGTTACCTATCTCTATTTTTCTTGGTCCATATGCTTTAAAACATCAGCTCTCCTGCTCACAGAACAACTGAAAGACTTCAGACCTATGCTTGCCACTCACCAACACACAAGACCTCACCAGACTGTCTCCTCTCCAAAACTTCCAGCAGCAAGGCAAGGACCAATACCTGTGGCTGCTTCTGAACTCCCCAAACACAGGTAGTAGCTGCCTGCCCTGCTCCCCTTGTTGGCAGCTGGACCTTTGCTAGCATAGGTCTCTCCCCTTTATTCAGCTGCTACCACCCCATAAAATTTTCAGAAACTTAATCATAAAAACTAGTTGATATTGCTCAACAGGTTCAAATCTATCAGTGAGATAAGCCACAATGCTGGCAGATAAACAAAACTCAAACTGGATACCACTCCAAGATCTTTGGTGCAACCAACACAATTTTTAGTTGCACCATTCTTAGTCACAGCCTGCTTAAGCTCCCTGGTGCTCATACCCCATCTCCCCACTGGGGCTGTCTAGAGAAAGGCATGCTGCTTTGCTCTCTGCTCCGACATCCGTCCTCCCCAGCAGAAACCCGCCACTTTGCTCAACATCCTCAGGGCAGAGGTGAGCTACAACACCCACTAGTTCTCCTCACTGCTCTGCTTCTCCTCATGTTCACCGTTGGCCTCGGGAAGACAGTCTGCCTCCTCACCATCCCCTCAAGTTTGTCTATACATCCAGCAAGGTGGACACCAAAGCTAATTAAAGAAGAAACTTTAAAATGGCACCTGCTCTTCCCTCCTCAACAGCATTATCTGTAAAGGGCTTAAGACAAATCCATTTTAAAGAGTGGGCTTCAATCTACATGTGACCACATAAAACACATATAGGCAAACTCTTATCTGGAAGGGTGGAATTTATATGGGAGAGAGGAGAAAGGAATTACCTGCACAAACACTGTGCTTATCACAGGAAGGATCTGTAATTTATTCTGCTGGAAGGATAACCATTCCTACCTACCTCACTGAGCTGCAAGCTTGCTTAGTATTTGCATTCCACACTGAAGAGGTTAAAAGGCTTTGGAAATCTTAAGCAGTGGCATTATTATTCTAATAAATGCAAAATAGCATCTGGGGTTGTGCTAATTAAATTTGGGTTCTACCAACATCACTAGAAAACTGCCTTGATGTTCTTTTAAAAAAACCCAAGATCTCTCCAGCTGTGAAATCTTACTTTTTGTTGTTGTTTTGAAGGGGTGTTGTGGTAAAGACAGAAGCCAAATGAAAAGCTGGTTTTGGTGACTTGCCCAGCTGTAACAGGTCATGTTTCACTCTCTATGCAATTAGGACACAACCGTGCGTTGAGGTCTCATGTTTTGGCCCAGGCAGCTATTCCCTTTCACACACAGGCATCTCCATGTACGTATTTTCCCAACCTCCCAGCTGCCAAAGCAAGGGGCAACAGGAGTGAGGAGGGAAAATGTCTTTAAAAGGGCTCTTGAGGGGTGCTGCGGCAGGGACCCCTCCATGGGACAAGGCAGCAATGCTCAAGGCACCTTGAATCTTTGGAGGGGCAGTAGGCAGGAACAGGGGACACACGGCACCTTCCCTCCATCCCTGCCAGCGCTCAATGTGAAAAATCATTTCTTATGCTTATGAAATACCCTGGAGGTATTTAAAAGACATGTAGATGTGGTGCTTTGGGACATGGTTTAATGGTGGACTTGGCAACGTTAGGTTTATGGTTGGACTTGATGATTTTAAGGGTCTTTTCCAACCTAACTGATTCTATGATGTTAGGATAAACTGCAGGTATCCAGTATTTACCATATGGTCTAAGTGCTGCCTAAACTTAATACAGTGGAATGGGACCCAGTGGTGGAGGAATAGCCATGGGCCCAGCTCAGGGACAGGCACAGTGAGGAACGGCGACAGCATCAGCCCCACCAGCACACTGCCCTCCTGCAGCTAGTCTGCACCTTCCTGGTGGCAGGGTGGGCTCCATTATCTTGGATCTTTAGCCTCCCTGACAAGAGGTATAAGAAGGTAAGATTTAGGGTCAGTCGCAACAGACCATTACCCTGGCCTGCACACCTGCCACCAAGAACTTAAGTAAACGATCATTTGTGGCTCACACAAAAACCAGCAGATTGGGAAAGCCTTCTGGGGTGGTAGATGGGCTGGGTTTGAACCAGTGACCTAGAAGCAGAGCACCCTGAATTTTGCTCTTAAAGCCTTGTTCCATCCAGCCCTCCTGGCTGTTTCAGTTAGCGATGCCACACTTAAGCACAGCAGGTAGGAAAATTCCTACATGGATTTTGAAGATTAGCGTGCATAGTTTCAAAAGCCACCGTTTCAATCAAGTGCTTAAAATAACAGTTCACCTCAACTGTCTTCTCCCCCTCCCCATCCCAGAAGGAGGAAAAAAACCAACCAAACAAAACAAAACAAAGCAAAACCAGCTCCCCAGCCCACACATGAGTGCGTGCACACGCTCACAAGAGAGCACTTATCTTTGAGGCTAGCTTGTCGCCTGAACATGAAGTGCCTCTGTCAGCTCCGTTTCTCACAAGTTCAAGGAGCAGCTGGTGTTGCACAAAGCGGCACCGCGCTGAGCTGGACGCGGTACCACGCTGGGCTGCCAGCTGACCTGGCTCTGCTGTCACCCGTGCACACACACTCAGTCATTTGAAGTGGTGATCAAGAAAGAAATGAAGCAACTTACCTCTAGGTTTTGTGCATACAAGTATTCAAAGGAGGGGAAAAAAAAACCCACCCCTCAATGGCTGTTTACTCTGCCTTCGAGTCTTTGAAGGCATCTGCAGACTATCAAAACCAGAAATAGCTAAAACACCAGAGAAAGCACACAAAGCCTTGACTTAGCAAGTGTTGGGCACACTTGCTAAGTCAAGGCATCTCAGGTTCAATTTTTAAAAAATTACTAAAATATCATCAGTGGCACATTCAGAGAGAATAAAAAGGAAATAACAACAGAAAAAGAGCAGAGGGGATCTTCTGTCCAAAAAGACAACCTGGACTTTTAAGGAAATCTGTGAATGAGTTGAAGCTGCCCAGTTAGGAAACGGAGCACCTCTTACCCTAAGCTGGCTAATAGCCTTTGGCTCAGCAGACCGCAGCAGGCTCTGGGGAGAACAACAGGAGCTAACAAAGCTGAACCACAGCCGCGGCCTCCCAGCCACTCACCCCGACAGCCAGGCTGAGCTGCTCCCGGTTGGGGAGGAAGACGCAGACGCTCCGGCTCTCCGGCTGCATCCTGCCTGCCAGCAGTGCCCTGCTCATGGTGGGCAGCTCTGTGGGGGCTGGGGTCTTCTCTCCAGGTGAGTGTCAGGCTCCCTTCATCCCAGGTACCTGCCAAGAAGGTGAGAGCATCAGTGCCACGCTCCTGCCAGTGCTGGGAGCACCCCGCATTTGACAGGATGATCTCCTCCTTGCTGTTTAAAAAAAAAACCAAACAACTTGTCTGTTTTACAGTGCCGTGGACAACATTTCCACCAGCATTGCAGCACAAACTGGGCAGAGTCAACCTTTAAATAGCTTGTGATTCCTAGGACAGCACCATAAAGCAATCGGGTCTCCCTAGAATAACAAACCAGCCTCAAGGTTTCAAGACATACGTAAGGGATAAAGGCAGATGACACCACTGACCACTTCCCAGAAACGTCCACAAAAGAGGCAGGAGCACCCCGTCCTTCAACCAGGCACCACACTCTCGCCCTAAGCAGAGATTTCAATGAACCATCAGCAGGTGTGTGTCAGTGCAGAGGGCTTCATCTAAGCTGTTTTCCCCCTCACCCCACCCCTAGTCCCTGGGAAAGCGCTGTCCCAAATCCTCTATACCTCAACTCCTAGGAGCAGATGGAAACGCATGAACTCACAAGGCTGTGCCGCTGTATCGTGCTTATTGTGAGACAAGCACTGCCAGCCTCCTCCCAAGGGCTGAGCCCAAGCTGCACAAGCATCTTAGGGTTGAACTTATCATAAGAGCAGAAATAAGAGCTGGAAATTCAGTTCACACCCAAAAGCACAGTAGCCAACATCATCTTCACATGGTAGCTAGTTTGGACACAGTTTCTTCAGCAACTTGTGATGTTTTATTTAGTCCTCTCTGCCCTGATGCTCTCCAGGATGATGAACCAACCTGTGGCATCTGACAAATCCAGCAAGAAGGAGAGAGGCTCCTCAAGGGTGAGTCAAGGATTAACACTGACAGAGACCAGAACCAGCAAGATACCAACAAGTTACAGGGTCCACTCCATCCCTGTGCAAGATGTGATGCAAGTCAAACCCCATCTGCCCCAAACAAAGTAACCCTGGCATGATCCCCTTCCACCAGCAACACCTGGACACTCATCACCAGCACAGCAGAGGTGCTGCCGGCTGACACCTGCCCGTAGAGCCCCCCATGCCCCTGGGGATGGGCATGTACCCCAGCACCAGCAGCCAAATGCACCAGCTCTGGCAGTGCTACCCTTTCCCACCGCCCACGGTGCAGCCCACCTCCAGGGGACAGGCTGTGAAGGGATGCACAGGCTTTTCCTTCACCCTCCAAAACGGATTGAAGGACGAGGCAACATAAGCAGCAAGGAAGCAGGTCATGTTCTGCTATCACACAACTTCCATACATATCTATATACATACACACGTGTGCATTACATGTATGTTTTAAAAGCATTTGGTATTTAAAATCATGTTTATCCTGTTTCAGAGGAAAAATATGGTGGAATCAAACTGTTATGTGGGAGATGGGAAAAACCAGTCACAGGAAAACAAAGAACAGTACAGAAAAAAGAGCTTGGATTTACCCCTCTCCCTTCAATTCCATGCTCAAACTTTTTTTCTTTTTTTTTAATCAAATACAAGAAAAAGATCTACAAGTGTCCTTTTGGAAGTATAAAAGCTGTTCCATGCACCTCCTTCCCTTAGCTGACCTATACAGTGCTTCTTGATAAAGTATTTTTGAATACAAGTTCTTTATGTAAAGCATCTTTTATGAGACAGAAGTACACAAAAATTGCATTTATTGTATTAATTAAAAGAGTGGGTTATTAAAGGCTATTATTATTACTTTTTTCAAAATCAGAATTTAATTAAAGAACTAGGAGTTTTAAAAAGGAGATTGCTCTAAATTATATGCAAGCAGGAAAAATAAATTTGACTTCCTGGGACAGGTGAAAGCTTCTATTAAATGAAATATTAAAACTCTGATTTATCCTCTCTTACTGATATAATTATACTGATGGGCTCTCTCAGGCTCCAGGCTACACACTACTAACAGCTGTATATAAATTACAGATGTCTACAGAATGACTCGAGGGCAACAGGTCACCATTATTATTGCCAGCTGATGTCATATGCACCATAAACTTTATCAACAGCATAAAGACCTTGGAGTATGAGCTCAAGCTTTCCAACATAAGGAAGTTTGTCTTCATTGTCAAACGGCTGCGCTGGCCCGTACAGATTCCCACTCGAAGGGGAGATCACAGACAGTGAAGACATTCACGTGGCTCATAACAGAACTGAAAATGGGACAAAAAGGGGACCATGAAAAACACATGCACACCTTTTTCTGTGGATAACCGAAGAAAGTAAATCCCACTTCCCCATAGCCTCTATAAAACAAAGCTTCTGGAAAGCTTTTCCTCTGGTCTCACACCTGCTTTGTCCATTTAAATTTTAATTTAAACTGCGGATCCTGGGAAGAAAGGTAGTGAGAAAGGGGGAGGAGAAGGTGTCTTCTTTAGTTTTAAAACAAATGAGCTTGTGGATCCCAACACAGCAGGTAAGAGGTTAAACAACAACCGTCCTTAATCTGAAGGGGGAGGTCAAACACAAGCCCTTCTCTTCTTTAGAGGTATGTTAGGATGTGATAAAACATAATTAATGATTAACTTGCTAGCATTTCATGTTTACATCCTTTTTTTTTTAAAAAAAAAAAAAAAAGAAAAAAAAAGAAAAAAAGCTGTGAGCCCAATGAAAACAAGTGGCCAGAAGGAATGCTCTTACTTAAACATACACAATTTCAGACTGCCCATATGCCATTCTTTTGTTTACCACAGATTCCAACCTCTTAACCTCAATTAAACCCTAAAAGCTCCAGCAAGTGCACTGCAGATGAATTAATAAAAGCTGAAGTCAATC